CTGGGAGATAAACTTGTTTCCTGGATCAGTGAATACCAGAGAACCGAACTGGAGGTGCTGGAAATGACCGTACTGGAGCACGGTTTCATCTTTGTGAAGAAGACCGCTTATAAGATCTGCATAGCTCATTGACCCCTGAAACGCAAGATGTGTTTTCTCAGGACCATTATATACGCAGGTCCACAGCAATGAATAGGAAAGAAGGCGCGCGTTCCCTCCCCAACATTCCCAAGGGATGCCTAGCCTARATTAGAGCTTAGGCCACCTTGGTTAGTTCGGCATGACGTCACGTCATGATTGAAGCTGATGGGGTTAGGGTTAGAGTAGCCTGGAGACAAGCCTATCTTGAGCTTACCTTGAGATGTGAAAATTGTCCACTAATACTTGTGTTAAGCTGAGTCCCACCTGCATTTGTTGCTGCAAGAAGACCTTGTGAGCTCATGTGCTTTGTAGGCAAACTATTGTACAACTGCTGAGAGRCTGGGTCCAGCATGTTGACATTAAACGGTTGTGGCTCCACTCTCACTGGTGSTGGGCAAATTTCATGCAAGTTCACTACAACATAAAAACCACAAATAGATAACTGAAGTGGCTTGCCGTCAAAGACACCGAAATGCAAAGATGTTGTCATAGAAAGCGTTCAGTTTGCGAGATCTCCTCCTGTCTTTTTTAATTTATTCCTTTTTACTATAAAGTACAAAAGTTACTTTTTGGAGTGGAACCCYTCCTTACGGCCACCACTGTACATGATAGGGCAGCATCCACGCATCCGGCCACGTTTGAGAATTTCAAAAAGATTCCCATAGTGGAAAACGCCCGAAAATAAACTGGAATGCAGGCTCGTAGATGAAAAATCCTAATAGATATCCCACACAATTTCGGATGTATAATTAGACAAGGTCACGCCTGTCTGGTGAGTTAGTGGTAAGCGTTGTGTTACTATGTAAAACGCGGTTGCGACGCGAGAGACAGTGAGAGATAAAACAATTTTTCTAAAGTAAACATACTTTTTAAAAAAGTAAAAAGATTCCGTCGTTTCTTTCCTCGGACTCCGTATATTTTGCAAACTACCAGTTTTTCAAGTCCCGATATTCATGACGAAAACAGTATCCATTTAATACACTGGTTCAATATTTTACGCAAAAAAAATAAAAAAATAAATCTGAGACTACTCCAGCAATTAATCAGACAAACAGATCTGAATCTGAATGTTTGGAATTCATTGCATTTCAAGTTGTTATTTTGCTCTTTAAGACCTTTTGTAATGGAGCTCAGATTTCACCAGAACAAGAAGCAAGTATTACCTGGTCCGCGATATGACTGACTTGCACACCATGCTCAGATTTACTGAAAAATGTACTCATTGTCATTGATGGCTTTTAGATTAATGCTATTTTATCGCTGGAAGCTCCTGTGGTTGTATCGTTGCACTGCATTTAATTTCAACTGGTATCAAAAATGATGGCACAGACAAGAAGCGTCTGCCAATACACGACTTGGCCTGTACTTGGCACAGTTTACAACCTTTCAGAAACTCTGTAATACTACATAGCCTGTTATTACAATGATCACTCAAACGTTTCTTATTTTTTCGTATTGTTTTTTGTGTGTACATAAAGAGCGTAAATATATAGGCAATTATTCTACCTGTACCAGTCCCGCCAGGATGATTGGGATAAGAAGGACCAGCCTCGCTCGTGAGCACTTCTAGTGGAATATTTGCCGATTGCCGCTTTTGCTCGTTGTCCAATTTTTCATAGCTCGTCATTTTCGACTCAAAAGATTTTACCAGCCTTATAGCTTTTGCTTCAAATCTTTTATTCGGACAAACCACGTATCGCCACGAGGTAAACGGAGAAATATATATATGTCATATGTATGCTAATTAGTTCTGAGAATTACAAAGGCCGCGCATACGTGATGTCATGATCATCATTTCGTGGAAGCGGTCACGGTARAACTGGTCAATGTCATTGTGCACAAAAACTGATAAATTGTTGAATAATCAAGGTGTAAAATTGAATATTGTGAAAATAATAATACTTTTACTTCATTCTGTAAATCATTGTCCCTATTTAGCTATTTCTTCATCGATCTTCATGAATTCTTCATAGTTCCGCAAAACAGTCCATCAGTGGTCACGCTACGTCTCCAAAACCTACGAGTCTTCCAGTTATAGTTAACGACTTCTCACAAACTACGTCTTTAACGTATTTGAAAGACTAAGATTATTTGAATTATCTTGATAATCAGGAAAAATGTCTACCTGKYTGTTGACGATTCGTTRCAGCCATGTTTGGGAATGATACCTTTTGGACCTTACTCTCCAGTAGTTGTGAGTTCCAAGAAGGGACGCAAGGYGATCCTATAACAATGGATGTCAGGGAGGGAGGAGCTACGGATTCTAATGTGGTGACCTCTTACTTTGTTGGCAAGGCAACGGGAAGGACGAATACAGCTTACAATCTTCTGCAAAATAAAAGAAACAGGTTAGTCTCGTTTCCCCATCTCTGTAATGCTGAATRCATGTTACTTGTCATCCTGAGCGATTTCATAGCAACAAAGTGACCAAAAATTTTGCAAAACACATTAATTTGGAGTAACACAATCAAAGAGACTAACAGAGTCTCAGTATGTCTCTTTTGTCTTACAAGAAGCGAAAGGAAGAAGTCCCGCTGTGAATAGCCGACTTTAGATATTTTGGTTCAGTGACCATGCACAAAAGAATTGCAGACGAGGCTCCGGGGAAATAAAGAATAAATCAAGATTATCCATTGATAATTTTATTTTTTTTAATATTGCAAAGAGTTATTTTGAAGTGCACGCTTCAAAATGACCAATCAAAGAGCGTATGATATCGTTTTATTCTTTATTTCCCCGGAGCCTCGTCTGCAATTCTTTTGTGCATGGTCACTGAACCAAAATATCTAAAGTCGGCTATTGAAACGCCGCATCTTAGTCGCCTTTGCCGTTCCGAAATTGTGTAAATCAATCCATTCAATGCAGTTGCAGTACATGATAATCAATAAATGTTTGTCATTAATGCGGTGTCCTTGTGCCTTTTTAGTTTTGAAAGCGAAATATCTTTTCGAAACAATAAAGAATTCCAAGTCGCACTTTCAAATAAGTATGTGGCTAATAATAAGCACAATTTGCAGCCAAAGACCTGAATTGTGTCTGTGTTATAATTATATGAAATATAAAAATAATAGATGCACATAAAATATTTTCATTCTATTGATCAAAAGATGAAAAAAAAAAAAATCTTCAAACTGGTACTAGCTCGGCCAGGTATGATCGCGTGGGACTAGTTATGAGTTTCCAGTACCAGGTCCTAAAATCCCACGTGCAATGGAACATGGATGGCCGTAGTTGTCCTTGTGCTTTTGATAATAATGGACGATTTTTAGCACTTTTAACCCCAGACGGTTGTCTAAAAGTTTGGGATTGCACTGATGGAGTCTTAAAGCATCAATACACACCGAGTTCTCATTTGTCGTCGACGTGTACTTGTTTAAAATGGACAAATTCTTCACGTGGTTCGGTAAGTAAAGTTGCTCGACCAAATAAGCGTTGTTGATAAAAAAGCAACAATTTGGACCTGTATTTCATAATGTTTACCATGAAAATTGATTTAAAATGATCAATAGATATTGTTAAAAGTATAGCTGAAAATTCTATGGGTAAATCAATCATTTCTTTGATAAAATAGGATCGAAACTCGTCAGTTTACACAYWACGAGAACAGGTAGCCCGTACTTTGCCAACGTGACTAACGTGTTTTTAGCACAAGCGAAGGCAAATATTTCGCAATGTCGTGTGCGTTAGATAAGAATAAAATATATAAATACCAATCTGGTATATTTAAATCTTTGAAACTGCAAACCGTTTCACAACTTAAATGAATTTTGTATGTGAATTTAATGTGTATACAATTACATACAATAGAAACATTGTAAAACTTTTCTTAATTTCACAGATGTTTTATATCGTGATTATAATTTCTGATAAAAAATATTAACAATGCCAAAATGTAACGTTTCACCAATGGTGACAAACCTTACAGGAATGCTGTTTTTCAGTATTTACATGGATGTTCACTTCTGAAGTTTTATGATGACCTTTTTAATTGCTTCCAGCATGAACGTAAAAGCTAGCTGTGCTTTTGAAACAAGATGATGGTTTAGCTTGTAGCCATAAATGTTTTTTTTTGTGCCTGTGCAGTTGAAGCTCAGCTACAATCTTATGTAATATAAATGGGATACTTGTATTTTATCACTTCCCCTTGTTCAGTTTGGTTAGGATGTCTTCAACTATTATCTATTAATTATTGTTATCCACAAACATCACTGTCAATAGAATTCTGAACCTTTTACGTCACTACTTGATTTTCAATGCATTGTGGGAACAGTTTCAAGAGAAAACAAAAGAAATCCGCCATGTTCTGTCCCAAACATGTCCTACAATGCATTGTGTATAAGGTRCATGACGTAAAAAAGCTGCAGAGGTCTATGGGGAAGGTGCAAAAAAYCCTAAGAATTGTGGGTATTTATTTTTGTCAGAGATTGTAGCTTTGATAAAGTGGCAAAGCTACCCTCTTAACTGTGATGAGAATCATGAAAGAAGTGTTTGTGTCTGATYAATTGCTAAAGTTAATTATGTYGTTTTACCTAATTAGGCTACACCTAGACGAAAAAAGCAGAAAACATCTCATCAGTCATMTGCGTCGCAAACAGTTGTTTCTATCATTGCATTGGGTACATCATCAGGAGATATTCTGATTTATGATATTTCAGAAGGAGAGATACAGCAACGATTGGTACGTGTGTATAATATAACAGTATCATAAATGCCACATTTCTTGAAAGTAAAAGTGATAAATTTGAAGCATGTACTGGCAATCCAATGTTATGCTTTAATAAACTTGTTTTTCTGGTTTCTTGTATAGACTGATAGTCACACTGACAGAGTCAATGCCTTGGCATGGGACTTGAATGGCTCCCTGTATTCTTGCTCAAATGATAAACATATTGTAGAATGGTGTGTAGATAAAGCAGAGCAAAAAAGGTGAGTTGAGTGTGTTGGCAGTGAAATACATTTAAAGAAAACATGGGGGAGGGGGTTGGGGTGCTCCCATATATTTGCTTTACGGGTATRTGCCGCACTAAAAAGTTTTGTTTTTCAGCTTTTTAGTCTGGTGTAGGGTATCATTTTTTAACATTTTGTCAAGTATATGTTATGGTTTTTGTCTGGGATAGGATTATAATTTGATCATTTTAATCTGGATAAAGGTATTGGTTTCCCCCCACAACAGGATTGATTGTTTTTAAGCATTCCCATGAGATTCAAAGGATAAAAGACCAGCGGCCATGCTGGATGAATGAACAATAGATACTAATGAGAAATCCTTTGTTGAAGTTCATCCAAGATGGCCGCTGTGACGTATAGTGAAAACAAAGAATAAGAGCAATGCAATGAATAATTCACACACACACAAAASAAATATAGAAAGGTGCATTCTGCACCAATATTGACCTCATGTAGACAGCAAGACTTACCTTTCTAAAACATGATGCATATGTTCAGAAAATAACATTAATTTGTTCATTGAAATGGTTTTGTGTGCTTGACATTAATCATTAATGTGGTCATTATCATAAATTTATTGTTATTTGTATTTTTAGTAAATGGAAAGCTGATCGTCATGGAGTGAACTCCATTTGTGTCAGTCCTCTTGGTAACTGTCTTTTATCCGCTGGTAGAACCATTAAACTATGGGACCTTGAAACTAAACAACTCTTAAAGGTTAATTTGCTGTCTTGTAGAGCATAGTTKCTTCATAGTATTGTACAATATTTTCATGTTTTATAATACTTTTTACATAAGACCTGACTTTTTCAAAGTGATGGAAACTAGCAGTGATGAGCTGTGTAGGTGTTTCTAAAGAAACAGTTTTGAAATAAGAACAGAGGCCATATTCTTTGTGGAGTGGCCAAAAACAATATGGAGTACTTGAAATTACCCAAAAGGCTAATTATTACCCGTTCTTAGCCAATCACATTCAAGTACTTTAAGATGGGATTACACAGAGTAATTATTACCTGTTGATATCCAATCAGAGATAAGTAACAGGTAATAGTTACTTCTCTGGGTAATCATTACTCTTACTCAGAACAGATGCTCGTGAAAAACCGATATCCAAGCAAATTGGAAGGCAGACTACGGCCTGATTAAGTACAAGTTTAATTGATGAAGCGAAATTCATGTTTTTTTTGTTATAAAATTGCAATTAATTACTATTTTTGTACTTTTCTGTAGATCACGCGATTTCCTGTACCACGCATTTTTAATCGAATACGGTTCGTTGCTGTATCAAAAACAGAACGGCTCAAATACAAAGCTGACTGATTTGGACCGTTGTTAAAACGATTGTATATGAAATATAGATATCTTTAAACACTTTTCGCTTATCAGCTAATCGGTTTATTTTAAACGAAAAGAGCACGAAAGTTTTACGCGATTCGGTAAAGTTCATAAATGCCTGAAAGTTAACGGAGATTATACGTCGACTATGAGATACCATCGTTAAAAATAGCGCAATTCGTTTATGGAATACTTARGGATTCCAATAAAAAYCTATTATAAAGGATTCTGTTTATTTCAACCAAACGATCTTTTAAATCATACAGATTTACGACCAGCTACGTTGTGAACTATGACCGGAGTTTGACACAAGCTGTCAAATACGCGCTAAAAGTAGCGTAGACGGTAATTGTTACCGCTACACGCGGCTACAGACATGCTACGTACATTTCACGTGTGTTGTTTACTCTCTGTATTGCTGGAAATCTGTGATTTTAATAAATACAGGTAWTATAAAAGCATTCAAGTAATGAATTTGCGATGACGAATTTTRCAGCGATCAGAATTGACTCGATTAGAAAATATCATTTACCTGTTGATATCCAATCAGAGATAAGTAAACAGGTAATTGTTACTTCTCTGGGTAATTATTACTCTTACTCAGATCAGTTACTCGTGAAATACCGATATCCCAACTAAAATTAGGAGGCAAACTACGGCCTGAATATTGAGCAAGTTTAAGAGATGGTTTCTTCGTTATAAAATTGCAGATAGTTCCCGGGAGATAGTTCCTATTTTTGTACTTTTCGGTAGTCACGCCACTTCCTGTTTACCGCGCATTTCTAGTGATTACTGAACGGCTCAAATACAAAGCTGATTTGGACCGTCTCAAAACGATTGTAGAGTTTATAATTTATGAAATATAATACATAGTCTTTAAACACTTTTCGCTTATCAGCGAATCGGTTTATTTTAAGCGAAAAGAGCACGAAATGCCTGAAAGTTAAACGGAGAGTATGCGTCGCCTTTGAGATACCATCGTTAAAATAGCGCCATTTATGGAATACTTAAGGATTCCAGTGAAAATCTATTATAAAGGATTCTTTTTATTTCAACCAAACGATGCTGAGTTGGACATATAAGCTGTCAACTACGCGCTAAACGTCAGCCCCAACCAGTCATTTGTAGCGTAGACGGTAATTGTTACCGCTACGTGCGGCTACAGACGTGCTACGTACATTTCAGTAAATGGCGTAGAAGTACAGCTATAGTGATGAATGTATATCATTTACCTATTGATATCCAATCATAGATAAGTAACAGGTAATAGTTACTTCTCTGGATAATTATTACTCTTGCAAACTTAACGGCCTCAGACTATTGAGCAAGATTAAGAGTCGAGATGTGAGTGAAATTGATGGTTTCGTCGTTATATGGTTTCGACGTTTGTTTGTGTTATATTGTCATTGAAAGCAATTAAATGTGTTGAATGCTGAATTTGAAACAATCCAAGTTTAAAGTGATTTCAATATTGAAATGTAGATTTTCGGCTAAGTGAAAACAAACGACATGTTTTGACAATTTAAATTCAAGGCATTTATATAATTAATTGTTATAAACAGTTTAGAAAGTCCGTCAAGACGATATGGTAAAAAAATTGTTAAAGACGAATTCACGTTCAAGTATTAAAATTTGTGCTTGAAATCATCTTGTTACAGTATTATTGCGCGGTACAGGAAGTCGCGTGATCTACAGAAAAGTACAAAAATAGGAACTAATTGCAATTTTATAACGAAAAAAACCCATGAATTTCGCTTTATCTCTTAAACTTGTACTTAGTCAGGCCGTAGTTTACCTCCTAATAAATTGGTATATCGGTATTTCACGAACATCTGTTCTCAGTAAGAGTAATAATTACCCAGAGAAGTAACTATTACCTCTTTACTTATCTCTGATTGGATATCAATAGGTAAATGATATACATTCATCACTATAGCTGTACTTCTACTCCATTTACTGAGAGTAAACAACTCACTTGAAATGTACGTAGCATGTCTGTAGCCGCACGTAGCGGTAACAATTACCGTCTACGCTACAAATGACTGGTTGGGGCTGACGTTTAGCGCGTAGTTGACAGCTTATATGTCCAACTCAGCATCGTTTGGTTGAAATACAAAGAATCCTTTATAATAGATTTTCACTGGAATCCTTAAGTATTCCATAAATGGCGCTATTTTAACGATGGTATCTCAAAGTCGACGCATACTCCGTTAACTTTCAGGCATTTCGTGCTCTTTTCGCTTAAAATAAACCGATTCGCTGATAAGCGAAAAGTGTTTAAAGATATCTATTATATTTCATAAATTATAAACTCTACAATCGTTTTGAGAGACGGTCCAAATCAGCTTTGTATTTGAGCCGTTCAGTAATCACTAGAAATGCGCGGTAAACAGGAAGTGGCGTGACTACCGAAAAGTACAAAAATAGGAACTATCTGCAATTTTATAACGAAGAAACCATCTCTTAAACTTGCTCAATATTCAGGCCGTAGTTTGCCTCCTAATTTTAGTTGGGATATCGGTATTTCACGAGTAACTGATCTGAGTAAGAGTAATAATTACCCAGAGAAGTAACAATTACCTGTTTACTTATCTCTGATTGGATATCAACAGGTAAATGATATTTTCTAATCGAGTCAATTCTGATCGCTGYAAAATTCGTCATCGCAAATTCATTACTTGAATGCTTTTATAWTACCTGTATTTATTAAAATCACAGATTTCCAGCAATACAGAGAGTAAACAACACACGTGAAATGTACGTAGCATGTCTGTAGCCGCGYGTAGCGGTAACAATTACCGTCTACGCTACTTTTAGCGCGTATTTGACAGCTTGTGTCAAACTCCGGTCATAGTTCACAACGTAGCTGGTCGTAAATCTGTATGATTTAAAAGATCGTTTGGTTGAAATAAACAGAATCCTTTATAATAGRTTTTTATTGGAATCCYTAAGTATTCCATAAACGAATTGCGCTATTTTTAACGAYRGTATCTCATAGTCGACGTATAATCTCCGTTAACTTTCAGGCATTTATGAACTTTACCGAATCGCTTAAAAATTTCGTGCTCTTTTCGTTTAAAATAAACCGATTAGCTGATAAGCGAAAAGTGTTTAAAGATATCTATATTTCATATACAATCGTTTTAACAACGGTCCAAATCAGTCAGCTTTGTATTTGAGCCGTTCTGTTTTTGATACAGCAACGAACCGTATTCGATTAAAAATGCGCGGTACAGGAAATCGCGTGATCTACAGAAAAGTACAAAAATAGTAATTAATTGCAATTTTATAACAAAAAAAAAACATGAATTTCGCTTCATCAATTAAACTTGTACTTAATCAGGCCGTAGTCTGCCTTCCAATTTGCTTGGATATCGGTTTTTCACGAGCATCTGTTCTGAGTAAGAGTAATGATTACCCAGAGAAGTAACTATTACCTGTTACTTATCTCTGATTGGATATCAACAGGTAATAATTACTCTGTGTAATCCCATCTTAAAGTACTTGAATGTGATTGGCTAAGAACGGGTAATAATTAGCCTTTTGGGTAATTTCAAGTACTCCATATTGTTTTTGGCCACTCCACAAAGAATATGGCCTCTGTTTAAGATAAATTTTAACACCATAAAAAGTATTTGAAATAACTTACTGACATTTCAGACATTTTTTAACTTAAAACTTTTTTAAAAAATCTCCTTGTAGAAATTTACTGGGCATGCTTCACCTGTGTCTGAGCTGTGCTTTCTATCAAGTCCTAGCATGCCTGATTCTAATGCAAACCATGTTTCTGAAAAGTCTATCAGTGGTTTGTACTTCTTATCTGGTTCAAAAGATGAACGGCTTCTCAATGTCTGGTAAGTGTGTGTAGTCTGTTTTTCTTTATCATTCAGTGTACAGACTTTAACCCAATACATGTACAATGAGCAAATTTAAGATTTGGTTCAATAAACATCGGCTGAACTTTGACCATAAGTTGAAGAATACTCAAGATACGAGTCCACTTGTAGTTAATTTGCAGTTTTTCAGAGGAGTCACAAAGCTTAACTTGTTTCATGGCATGCATAGGAATACATTTTGCAATCATTGAAACTAGAATAGAATATCAACATTATCATAGAGATTTTATAATTGTTAAACAGCAAGTATGTATATTGTATCTATGGTAAAGACATGACATGGCAACAGAACCTTGCCATAGCAACATTGAATTGAAGTCATATGACTACAATACAGCATGATCACAGCACAAAAGAACTGTTGTCATAACACACTTGTATGAAGTCTGCTGTATTATATAATGTTTGTTGTAAAAATCTTTTAGTATACATGTAGATGCAGTTCCATCTTTCTGTCTTTAGGTATGTAGATTTGGAGAGTAAAGAGAAAAATGCTCTTATCTCTTTGTCACTAAGTGAAAACCCCAACACAATTGATGTTGCTCAATATGATGCCAAAGAAAGGGTGAGTTTGACATTATCATGTTGTATTTTATTGCAATAATTGTTATGACATGCACACTTACTGTCAAATGATTGGAAAAATTGATGATTAAAAAAAAAACAATTTGTTTGGCCCTCCAATAGTAATAATTTAACAGTCGGATTAATTACAATTTTACTGTGTATTTTTGTGTTTCAGTCTGTTCATGTTGCTGTGACGTCCAGTGATGGCTGCCTTCACATATTTGAGAAGACTTTAAATGGGTATGTACAACTTTATGTCATGCTATATTAAATTTAATGGCGGTTTTATAAATTGTAAACAAATTTCTAACAAATCAAAATATGCACTGTAATGATGTTATTGYTGACTTTTTTTCTTGTTACTATTCTTGCTCATAAATGATTACAGTATTCAACGTCTTTTGTTTTGTTTCATTGTAGAGGTGGAAAAAAACCTCTGAATCCAACTAGAAGCATACATCTCACAACACCAGAWAAGGTATGAAAATTGCTCAGACAAATAACAACTATTATGCTATCACTGTCAACATATTTGGTAGTTTGATAGTAGCCTTTGTGCTAAGTTAGTTAGTAAATATGATTGAATCAATTTAAAGTCCCGTTTTACACTTGCGATTATTGCAGAGCAATTCTCGCTGCGATCGTCGCACGACCATCGACTTAGTTTCGAACATGCTTTAAAGTTGGCTGCAACTTCGTGGTGATTTTCCATCGTCGCAACAATCGCAGGGCTGTTTACACGTACGATTTTTGTTGCGCAATAGCAAAGTGGCGATTATCACGCTGCAAAAATCGTAAGAGTGTAAACAGGCCTTACCAAAGTTGATATTCACTAATTAAGCAAAAAACGAAAACACGAAAGATGAGGTTTTTTTGAATAGAAGAATAAAATTGTTGAGTATTTGAATGATTTTCAATGTGTTTTAGTGAGAAGAAAAAATAAAAATCACATAAAGATTCCCTCCAAAGTTGCATGGTACTTAACGCAAATGACTGTATTTATTGTTTTTCAGAATAAAACATCAATTCCATTCATCTGCTCWAAGCTTCTATCAGCCAAGGAGCCATCTGTAATGGTTGCTTATGGRTCATTAGCAAAACCACAGTTTGAAACATTGACCTACTCTTCTTATGAATCAGAAACATTTCTGACAAGAGAAAATTTATCTAGTTTGTCAATAAAACAACATTCAGAGCCYACTGGTCCTGTTGACAAAGCTGACAGGAGCRTCCCAGAACCRTCTTCCTTAGGACCRTCAAGTTTTGCCCTTGCTAGACCAAGTAYGGCCCAAAATGGAGCAAAAGATGAACAATCRWCATTACCAAGTACAACAGATTTATCTCAACAGGTTTGAAAGGCTTTATATAGRTTTTTTCCAAGGTCTATTTTGTTGSGGATATAATTCATGATTATCWATGTAACATSATAGTGCAGTWAACKTTTTATCATAAAAGCTCTTTGCAAATGCTATCTTATAAACATGCATTCCTAACCTGATTTTTTTTTCAATTTGTTTACAGAGTTTAGAGGACAGGTTAAAAGCCATGAGCCATGTAACAAAAGATAAAACGTAAGTTAAAAATTCACTGATTRCATTGATGCATATAGTCAYATGGAAGTCATTAGAAGCGATGATGTGTATGTTGGCTTGTGATGATATTATTTAAAAGAATAGGAATTGCCGTCAGATCGATACTTGACGACATTACATAATCTGAAGCCCAATGCACTAATATTACTGTAATAATATAATACATGTACACAGTATGTTGCTACTGTTTGTTATTGATATTGGATTTGTGTGAAACCATGTAGGCTTTCAAGAAGAAAAACACCCACAGCTTCTTCAATGGTGCAGATGTTAAGCCAAGCTTTACACAGTGAAGATCATCACCTTCTAGAAGTAAGAAACAATTTCTGTTAAGTGTTGTTTATATGAGAGAGAGGTTCTTTCAGGGTAGACTCATTGTCTTTGAGACTACCCAGGGTCATATTAATGCACGATATCATTCAAGTCACGCACTCTGACTCTAAATATTTGT